ATTTCCCCCAAGTCCTTGTTGGGTTTAGGGAGAACTGTAAGATAGGCCCTATTTAAATCTGTGTGTAAAGGACTCCCCCGTCTCACTTCATTAAAGAATCTCTCCAAGTGAGGCACCAAGACATCCGAGAACTTCTTATAATATAAGGCAGGCAGTCCATCCGGGCCCGGAGCCGATGACAATTTTGCCTGCTTGATAGCTTGTTTAATTTCCAGTGCCGAGATGGGTGCTTCCATAATCATGGAATGATCCAATGACACGGGTGGAAGGTGAACCTCACTAAGAAATGATCTCAATGAATCAGATGAGACTGGAGTGTTATCCTGATAAAGTTTAGTGAAAAACAAGTGAAATTCCTGAAGAACAGTTGCTGGATGTAATGAGTATGCGCCAGATGTACATCGAATTTTAGGGAACGTGTAAACTCTAGGTTTAGGGGATAGTTTAGTGGCTAAGAGGGTACCAATTTTGTCTTTATGGACATAATATTTGTTATCTGACCATCGAAGACTTTTTTCCGCTTTAGTAGTTAGTAACAAGTTCAATTCTAATCTAGTTTTATCCAGGGGTTTCAAAAGATCTAATGACGGATTCTGCTTATGAGCCCGAGATAAACGTTGAAGTTCCGTGTCCAGTTCATTTATGCGTCTGGTTGCCCTCTTCTTTATTCTGGTAGCCAATTCCATTAGTCGGCCCCGAATTGTCGCCTTATGGGCCGCCCAAGTTCATGTATACAGCTTAAAGTGATCTGACCAAATGATCGTGAACTCCTTAAATATATGTCACTGAAATATTTTATTATCAGTTTTATGAAAGTTACTAAATATACTAATAAAGCTGATTGGAATGAAATAGCTTTGCTTTTGGCAGGCCTACATTGTTCATTTAGTACATCCTACAACATACCTCTTTTCTACATCTGTCTGTGAAGGTTCTCATTCATCCACGTCATGGTATATCTGTAAAAAAGAAGTCAAGGCAACTGGACTTGCTGTATTTTTTCTTGAAGACGTTTCACTGGTCATCCAACCAGCATTCTCAATTCAGAATTACTTGTACAAAAAATTATCTGGGAATAAATATGGGGAATGTCGCTCCAATCCACATAATCTGTTAGTCACAACCAGGTGTTGATGAAATTTGCATAATTGGAGTTTGGGAGGTGTTATTAACCATCTAACCTCCCTAGAAACCACACTCTCCTTTCCTGCTGAAAATCTTTAGCAACTGTCTGACCTCACTACTTCTCCTCTGCCGGACATGACTATTCATTGCACTTGTTGAAGAATCAAGATCCTTCAGGGTGAGGGGTTACTTCTGGGATTTCATAGTGATGTAATGGCTATTATGGATACTGGTGAAACAAACTGCTAACCAGATTTCTGTTTTACTTATGTTCCAATGATTGATAGAGACTAAATGGATTATATGTGACTCTAATCTATGTGTCTTAATTAAAGCTGAACTCCAGGTAGAAATTTTATTTCACATTTAAATAGTTCATTTAGTAGGAAATATTACTAGCATTTATATAGCACTAATAGTTTGCACAGCACTTTACAAAATAAAGGGAGACAGTGCAGTTACATTACAATTCAATACAGGAGGATTAGTATGACACTGCTCATGAGAGCTTGCAATCTAAATGCACTCATGGATTTCAACAAAGTCATACAGCAAGTGAAAGATCCCAACTTGAATCCTATCTAATAAGGGTTCATTCTGACTTATTTCCTTTTCATAAGACCAGTCTTGTAAAATCCCCTTGGTAGTCCTTTCTTAAATGAACAGCAATGCTGTTGTGGGTGGACCTGGGCGTTTCAGACTCCTGACATGGCCCATCCACTAGCTTAGTCATGTTTGATGGAGACTCCTGGTCTGTCCTACCCAGCATTTCTTCACCCTTTGATTCATGCCCATTGCTGCTACAATTCCCATAGCATTTTGGTATAATATAGTATGTTACAGTGGCTGTAAGGAAGTGATGTCACACTCTACTACCGCTTCCACACACTTGTGTACAGGGAAAGAACCTTCAGGTGAAAAATTAATAACTTGCTTGGAGTTCACATTTAACATATGAAAACAAATGCAATTATCTCAAAAGTGGTGGTGCTTATTAAACATTTTTATTTCTTTTTAGGTTTGTGATGCCACGAGAACTGAATGAACGTTGAATACCGGAAGTGAATACAATTTTTCAATATCTGGGTTTCGATAAACTGGGAGAACAGTTATTTTTATAATGTGTTTAAAGGTATTGTCAATCTAATGATCATAACAAAGAAATCGAATGGTTCATTTTCAGTTCTGTAAAACATAATACGTTTTCATTCCATAACTGCTATCAAACCGTCACCTTGCCAGTAAATTTTAAAACATAAAGTAACTTCTTGCTGTTTAAATGTGTTTTTTAAGAAAATCACCCTAAATTGTAAACACTAATATTGTAACATTTCTTGAGAATTTGAGGTATATTGTACTTTTATTAACCCTTGATTGATGTAATATATATTGATTTGAAACAAAAATATTTTAATCGAAATGTTTATTCGGAAGTTGGGATAAGTCTGATGTCACACATAATTTAAGGCTGGGGCATTCAATTAGACTTGGTTCTTTTGTGTGGTCCAGGCTTTCATTTTGGGACTCCCCTTACTGCTCCGAATAGACAGTCTTACTTATATAATGATGCTTTGGAAAGAGCAATGATGAGTGCAACATTTTATGGCAGTACATGAAAGGTGATGGGTTTTATTTAGGTTTAGCTTCTATGAGTTGTTGGACCTAACTTAATGCTCTTCGACTTATTTTAAAACAAACTGCCAAACTGGGTTGAAACTGTGCAGTTTTTTCTTCTATTTTATGCACAGCAGCCTTAGTGCAGTGCATTTAAATGTAACATGTTGAAAGCATTAAATGCAGTTCAATGGAACACTTGATTGATTTGTAATAATCAGTCATTTGATGTGTGACTTGGGCTCTATAATTTTGGTTCTACTTATTTTTTAAATTTTAGATTAATATAGGGGTAGGCAACCTTGGCACTCCAGCTGTGGTGAAACTAAACGACCCATTAGGCATTGCAAGACTTGACAGCAAAGGTGTGACTCCCAGAGGTAGAGGCATGATGGATTCATCATGCTTCTACCACTGGGAGTCATGCCTTTGGCTGTCAAAGTCTTTCAATGCCTAGTGCCAAAGCTGTATTTAGTGGAAATTAAAAGCAAGAATGTACTCGCAAACAGCCAGTGAAAACAAGCCTGTAGTTACAGAGGAACATCTGCGATGTGAAAGTGTCAGATGTCGGTCACAGCAGGAACATGCAGTCTGGAGCGAACATCCTACTGCTGGCATAGCAAACAAGGTAACGTGTTTCTGGGGTGACGCCCCTTCATCAGACCAGACTTTTTACTCTAGAGAGGCGCACTGTTTTTTATGTTTTCTGTGTGCCAGAGCTTCAGACACACTGACTGTCTAAAGTGCTGCCCTCCGGTGAAGAGTTGCAGTGTATCTACCCTTTATAAATAAACTTTGGCGCCAGTGACTTTGTTTGAACTTTAAGTGCCAAAGCTGCCTACCCCTATATTATTTCTAACATTCATTATACCATCTTTTTGGTGCCCCACCTTTAGGAGTACCTTAACAATAACATACTGAAATTCAGAAAATGGCATGTTGACCCTTGAGCCTCCCAATGTATAAAAGGTTGATTACCTATACTGTAAAGCTACAGGTCAAGTCAACGTTTGTGTGGGACTTCTTGTTATTGTGCATCCCACTTTGTAGCTGTCACTTGACAGCTCTGTATCCATGTCTTGTAGCATGTGAAACAAATGAATGAGTTTACACTCCTTAAACGTCTACACAAGCAGCATTAATTGATTTAATTGCTTCAGTTGTATTATGGGAAGCACACATTGACTTTCACTGCAGCATCAAAAATTATTGTCAAATATTATCACAGTTGATGTGTTTGCTTGTGACTGTTAGGTCATTGCCTGGAAACAGATCTGTAGATATTTTACAGCACTTGTGATAATAATATAGAAGAGGCATTGCTAAATAGCAATTTGTTACTAAAATTGAAGCCCATATTATATTAAATCATTTGTAAAAAAAAAAAAAAAGCCCTTGCATTCTAGCTGTGCCCAGTGCTCACATTCTTTGTAAACAATGTGTTGCAGTTTAATTTTATTTATATAGTCACTTACAATGTACAAAATACGTGTTTTTAGTTTTAAAGTTAAAATTTCCTTACCTCCCATGTTCATGGAAGTTCCTTTTTAAACAGTCTTAAACGCTGGCATTCAATATACCATAACATGGCAAGTGTGGAAATAGTGGAAGGTGCCATACAGTTATGAAGGCTTTTGGTTTTTGAGAAATTGTCACTACTGCAGCCAACTGTATGTCAGCTGCTAAAACCAGTCCCTCATTTTGGCAAATAAAACACACCCTGAAAGAGGCAGAGGGGCCATAAGGTTGTTCTGTAGAGAAAATAGCTCCTTCTATATAACAGGTGATACTTGCTCTCATTGTGGGCAATTTATGAATGTATTTGCAACACAATATTTTGTTTCAAAAAAACAAAATGTCATGCTATCCAACCACAAAGTTTTATCTCTGTGATGCGTCTTTTTTGCAGTGTTCTTACTACATATTATTGTGTGTGACTCACTGAAAATGTTTTGCTAAATTTCTCAGCTGCGCAGTAACTGCATCCAGCATATGCGACATTAAAAGACTTCCAAACTGTCACACATTCTATAAGTGCTCCTGAGCACTTCTTAAGTTAGCGAAAAGTTAATTCAGCTTCATATGCTCAAGTCAGCTAAGCACTTCAGGGCTATTATCCAAAAGCTAACTCCAAAAGCTTCCCTGCAAATTTACAACAATTTTGAGACAATTCTCCTTATGAAGGTATTTAAGAATGAAACATAAACTAGGATATTAAATCTGTCACTATAAGCACTAGAAATTAGGAATGTGACAGTTTAAAAGATGCTGATGATGCGACCAAAATGATAAATGTCCCCCATTGTACACCCATTACATTATGAGATGCAACTTAGAATTATGAATTGTCATATTTCTGCATTTGTGGAAATGCATTAATAGCATTGCAATGTAAGCATAAATGTGCTCTACAAAAAAACAGGTCTAAACTAAAGAATCATGCTATTATTACTACTATGACCTCAGCTCCTCAGCTTGGAATACATTGCCCAAAAGGATTTGTTAAAGCAGAATAAAAATGATGCGATGCTGATGTGATTGTTGGGTATTTTATTACCATTTTAATATATTGTATTTGTAAAGCTTTAGATCACATAGTTAAAGATCAGCTATGGGTGGCACTGAACACACAAAATGAAATCCTACTAAAGACTTGATGTTTTTCTACATGTGGAGTAGCAGCTTTGAATCCTCTGGAGGCTGAAAAATTAACCAAAAAATAAGAGAAAGGTTTTTGCAAATGTTATACTGTATTGTCCACTGGGTATTCTGTGCATAAAACATGCCAGTTTTGAGGCAGAACCCCCACATACAGGCATTTTTTACTTTATTAAAACTGCAAAGAAAAGACTACAAAAACGATTATTTATTATAAAAAAAGATTATGCACTTACCAGTATCACCTTTTCTAGAATTCGGGGGATTTACCCATGGAGTGCACAATGATATTTGAGGTCAAGGCAATGTTTTTTTTCCAAGTAACATAATCCTTAGCCAATTGTTTCTATGCCTTATGATGCAGATGCCCCTGATATTTTTGATACAGTGATAGTCTGCTTCTGTAGTTATACCTTGTATCCCATACTTATCAAATATTCTTGGGAACAGCCAGTAGAAAATCTGGTATCATTAGCATCTTATTATTAAAATAAGCTAAGGAGAGCTCAATTCGCCTCCTCACGAAATGCCCCAAAAAATTCTCAACCTTGAAATGTTATGCGTGCCTTGACAAATTACTAAAAGGGATAATTTCTGAAAATGATTAAACTCCAGCTAGTTAATTTTGGTTTATAGACCTAGGAGGTTGGAAACTCCTTTATTTGCTGTTGAGTTCCAAAAAGACTGTAGAGGCGACCTTTGTGGAATATCTACAAACTATTTTAATGTGGTCCTTTGGAAGCTTTTCATGTGTGCTTTTTTTTTTGTTTTCAAATAGAACTGAGTACTGCAGCATGCAAAATCCCTACTAATTTCATTATAATTGCAATCTCAGTAGGGAAGGCAATTGAAGATGTGCTACCCCTATAAGATCTTTTTTCTGTTGTGCCTGTGTGAACCAAGGCCAATTTAATTACATTTTAATTTTAATATAAACTAGCTTGAAAATGGGAAATTGGTTATGTAGAACTGAACAGTATACATATAGGAAAGAATTTACCAACCTCTTGCAGAGATATTTACCTATGCATGATCTGAATACAATTATGGTAAATCTAGATTAAGAAAAGTCCAAACATTGAAATTAACAATTACCTAAATGTTAGTTTTTGCAGTTTCCTATATTAAAACTTGTAAAACTAATGCTAAAATGGCACTTGCTTAGTAAATTTGAGGTATAAAAGAGTGACTATGCATGATTAAAGCCTTATTTTCTTCTATATAAATTAATGCATGCCTTTTTAGTAAAGTTATGACAATGTTGCGTGGTATAAATATTTGAAATTATTTCCCCTTAAAATATCTGAAGCAAAGCATGTGCACCATTTTATACTTATTGTGTCTTATATGGTAAAGTGCCACCTGATCAAAAATACTAAACACATAAACAATTTTTTTCAAAAATATTTTGAAGTAAACATTTAAAAAAAAATTGGTCACTACATTTGTTTCAGAGAGGTAGTCAAGAGTGAAGTGAGGTTTAAATTATTATATTTTATACATTAGAATATCTATTTAATTCTTACTTTTTTGGGGCTTATTGAATGTGTTCTTTGATAAACTGTAATAAAATAAATGTACATTTTCTTAACTTTGAACTACCTCTGGAATAAAAATATATCCCTGTAATGTTACATGGTATTTGATTCCATGTCATATAGCTGGATGTGCTCTAATGAACAGTCAATGTCATCAAAAAACTTTTTTTAATATCTATTATTTGTAGCCAATCATTATGCACATGACATCTATCCGAGGCAGCGTTTCTTTCTGTATCTAAAAAAAGTGTTTGCAAAACCTTGAAATGCATGATGAAGCAAAGCTGAGAAACATTTTTAAAGTAAAACTTTACATGCCAATTTTCATATTTATATAGCAAACATTTCATGTACCTATAATTAAATTATTTGCCTT